TAGATAGATAGATAGATAGATAGATAGAGAAAAATTTCAGATGAGCCCAGCTCAGATCCAAACTTTGCCAAACTTTGGGGTGTCTGGTTAAGAGTTTGAATGAATCTTTTTTTTAAATTAACCATTTTAAAAATAATAGAGATGAATCCAAAGTCTGCCCTTGTGGCGTACAGGGAAGATGGGTCTCCTTCTGCAAGCGCAATAGGATTCGGCTAAGGTTGTCAACCCTGAAGGTCAATCACCCACTTAAGACAACTGTCAACAACCATCAACTTCCTGAACGACAGAGTTGCCCATGTCATGCAGCTCGCGGCCTCCCCTCCTTTGGGCACTTCGGTCTCAGAGCCGCTAGAGGGGGGCCTTCCCTAAGGGTCAAGCAGACCCCTGGAGCTATTCTGAGCTCCCCTGCAAAAGACTAGCCAAGTGCTGCAGGGGGTGGGCTCGCGCTGCTGTCCCAGTAACCCAGGGTAACCCTGCTGGGGGGAACCCCATGTCACGGGGCTACACCGGGGCAGGCCAAGCCACCAGCCCAGCTGTCCGTTTCTTTCCGACTGATCCAGCACCAGGCGTCTGGGATGCCCGGCGCAGGTCCTGCTGCTGCTACCTTGCATCTCTGCAAACTCCCCACCTGGCCCCTTTCGGGTCTGATCCTGCCGCGTTGGGAACCGCTCCTGCAGAAGGGCGCCAGATTTTGCAAATAACCCAGTGCATCCATTCCCCCGCCCCGGCCCCCATCACTGCCTTTTTGCAAGAAGGCGGCTTCCCCCACAAATTCCGACCCAGCAGACAGCGCGTGCAAAGAAATCCGAATTGCAAAGCTGGGGGGGGCGGGCGAGGGGGACCTCCACGCACGTGAGTCGACACTTTCCAGCCCCCTGGTCAGAGCGGTTTGCAAAGCCAGGGCCCAGCTATGAAGTTACAAGCTCCGATTTCCAGCCTACTTACTTTTCCTGCCGGTCCTAGGAAGGCGAATTTGCAGAGAGGGAGACCGCCCCGGAGCTCGCCTGCCCCACAGTAGCTGCGCGCACGCAGGAGCTCCTGCCCCCATATGTTGCCTCCTTGATGGAGCAGCCAGCGGTGTGTAGCCCCTTTGCATTTCCTCCCCCCCCCCCTTGCCGCGTCCCTCTCCTCTTAGTCCAATGAGCTCATGGGAAGGATCAGAGCCGAGCCCTGCAGCGCGGGAGTGAAACCCACAAAGCAGTTCAGGGGGGACCAAGGAACACGCAACCTGCGGCTGGAAACACCCCCCACCAGGGGGGTGCACCTGCAGCCTCCCGCCCCCCCGCCAGGAGAGGGGGAAATCCTCCCTCGCCTTTGCACCTGCGCCTGACATTCACCTCCGGGGTTACCGCTCTGGGTCGTCTCAGCAGGGGTCCGGAATCCGGATCGTGGCCTGGGGGTGACTGCAGTGGGGCGGGGCCGTGCAAAGAGGAGCAGCGCGAAGGGGGATCCCAGCGGGGTGCATGTTCCGCGCGTGCCCCCCACGGTACCCTGAACCGGTTTCTAAGATCCCCCCCCCTTTCCCAGGAAAGCAACGCGCGCTCCGATCCAGCCAGTGCCCCCCCTAGCTGCGGCTTGCCCGGGGGTGAGTTCTAGGCTCGTGAGCTCCTCCTGACCCCTCTGTCAACGCTGAGCCCTGGCTAGGGCCCTTCCGTGCCGCGGCTAGCCCGCCTGCCCGTGCAGAGAGAACGGTGCACCCCGCCGCCTTGCAAACATAGGGCGGGATGTGGCTGCAGGTTTAACTCTCCCGGCTACCAGGGATGAGCCAAACCCAAACTGCTCCCCTGCCTGTCGCGCTCACTAGGGGGCGCCAAGCAACCCACCCATCTCACACCCAACTGCAACTCGAAAGCTCTTGGGGTTAGTTTCCCCCCCCCTTCTGTTTCTTTGGGTGATTAAATTGCTCTCCTTCTAACACCATCCCACTCGACCAAGTGGCCTGTTTTGTAGACTGCTGCTTCCCCAGAGAGAAGAGCTCATTCCAGGGTGGGGTGGGGTTTTTTGGTTTAACATGTGCCCAGCAGAATGAAAAATTAAACCATCTGAACTTAACAGCGCAGATGTTTTTTCACTTTTATTTTAAATGCACTTTAGAGTAATTTTACCCTCTACTTCATGGAAATAGTGGGGCGGGGGTGTTTTTGTTTGTTTTGTTTGTGTGTGTGTGGGTCTTAATTCTGCCTTTTATTTCCTAGTGGTCCCAGTCATTGTGATTAAAGGGTGGGGGGGGGGTCTCAGTCTAACTTGCAAACTCTCTTTCCAAACGTTTATAACAGTTCAATGTAGGCTGAGACTCAATACACAAGGGGTTAACTCAGAACCGCTTTGCAAAACTTTAGAAAAACTCTTTCTAGTGGTTTTTGAGCTACACAAGAGCAGCAGTGAAGGTCTGGATGTCTCAGGTGCATGACTGAGGAATGATGTTATTTATCGGAGCGTCTTGTACCATTAACAATGAGTTAAAGTGAATTTGAATTCTTGTCTGAGAGTCAGTGAAATATCCTTCAGAACTCTCCAAATTACCAAAACATCGAAGGGTATGGCTACAGGACGGCCACAACAGCCGCACACCCACGGTGCTGCAACTGTAGTGCCGTAGTGTAGGAAGGGGTTTTTCCACCTCCATGGTTAATCCATCTCTACGAGAGGTAGTAACTAAATCAACACTAGAATTCTTCCTTCAACTTAGCCACGTCTACAAAGGGTCAACTTAACTATGTTGCACAGGGCCAAAATTTTTCACAGCCCTGAGCGACGTAGCGAGGTCGATCTAATTTTTAAATATAAATCTGACCTAACAAATCCTCTGACACTCCAAGAACCAGGCATCAAAGCTCCGGGGCATAGGGCCCAATTCTAGCAAAGATCGTGGTGCTCAGCCGTTCGCAGGATCGGCTCCTTACACATTACATCACACAACAGAATCAGATAAAAGCATAAATGCTACGGCCCAAATGTGTCCCTGGTGCATTTTCATTTCCTCTAACCCAGTTTCACTACAAGGAACACATCAAGCCCAATGGTCCAGCTGCCCACAGACTTCCTCGGCTGGCATGTTACTTTGTTAGACGCCTTGGTCAATTATCAAAGAAAATGGTTCAGTCCCTTTGTGCAAACCAGGATTTCCTTTGTCTCTATCTTCCCTCGTAAAGGAATGAGAGCAAAGTAGCGCTATTGTTCCTAAAACAACTTAGCGCAGTCTCCTGTCACCTGGCCGTGCACAGAACTGCCCCCAAAGCCAGCAGGAGTTGGCGTGTGAAGGAAGGTCAGGGTATGGTCCATATGGGAATATTTGTTACCCTCTAGCTTGGGGTTGTTGTTTTTTAGCACATGGACATGTAGGGGAAATAGTTAGCAGCTAGACAACAGCAGCTCAGAAATCGCTGGCGCGTCTCCTGTCTGGGAGTTGTGCAGGCGGCTGATTTAAGCCCAGCTGCCCTCTGTCCATAGTCACATCAGCTGAAGGTTGGTGCTACAGCCCCAGCGCAAGGTCACGATGCATTGGGGCTGATTCTCCACTGCTGTGCATTCATTTACACCCGTGCAAAGTGAGCGTGAAACACAACGAGCCCGATCCTCAACTAGCGCCCGAGCTCCATGAGCCGAGGCACTCGCCCCGCCGTTGTGTCTTGATAGCAGGTTATCCCCCCTTTGCCTTGGTGTGAATGACAAGGAGCAGGGGAGTGGAGAACGAGACGCCGTGCGTGTGATGGAATGGGACACGCACATGAGAGGAGTCCGGATCCCTAGAGGCAGAGAGGATAACCAAACCCAGCAAAGGAAAAGGTCATTGGCTCTGATTGAAAAGGCAGTTCCCCTTTGTGTAGCATCTTGCATTATGTAAGCACGAAACAGGAATTGTTTTATTCCTCCGTCTGGATCCATCTACCCCTGGGGAATTATTTAAACTCATTTAATCTCATAAACTCAAAGCACAGACAGCCCTTCCCACAGGGACAGTAATAATCTTAATGCACGGTCTATTATTGCAGCCCTAGTGCCAGGGGGAAAAGAACAGTGCCCGCTATGGAACTCTGCTTCCAAGTAGATTTCTATTAGCCAAGTGAAAAGCTTGTCCATAAAGGTGTTGGATTTCATTTCACTGCTGTGCCACTCACCTGATCTGTTGAAATCAGTCATTTGTCATGAACGGAGGATGCTTCCTTTAAACGGCACCATGATTTCTTACTGTTGGAACAAATAAAACCACGGTTATGCACTGCCGTTCTCCTGACGTATGATTTCCTTGATTCAGATCTTGATCATTCTGGGCCTGCCTTTGGCTTCCTTGTGCACCCAACTCTCCCTCCGGACTATTTGGGTGGGGCAGCAGGAGTACAGGATCAGGCCCAATCTCAATGCACACTTTTAGCAAATATTTATAATGAAACCACACTACAAAAATATAACCATTTGGTGGGGAATGGATGGAAAGAAGTGACTGGCGCTATTGTAGGACAGCATCCATCCTTCGGATGGTACATTTTTTCCTGTGCAACGCAAGTCCGGGAGGACAAATTTTCACTGTGGGGTTTGCATGAGCACGATCCTTTACACTGGTATAAATTGGGAGTATCCCCACCAAAGTCAGTGGAGTTCCACTGATTTAAATCTGGCACAAGAGGAAAATCAGGGCCTGTGTGACTTTAGATTATTCCAAAGTGCAGTTATAAAATCGGCAGGAAAATGAACATGTTGTTTCTAAAGAACTCTAGGTGGGACCATCTAACTCAGAGCTGGTACTTATCCCCCCAGCAAAATGTTCTGCTGCATCCAATATTCATTCCAAAGCAATGCGGGAGGCTGAATTAGGTGCTTCATTCCCAGTGAATTCTGATGGGCTTTGAACATCCATCTTCCTTAGGCTCATCTGAAAATCCCAGTTTGAAACCATCAATTACACAGCCCCAAGCAGCGTGTTATCCCATCCCCAGTACTCCTCCCGCAGGGCTCGTCTGCCTGGAGGAATAGTCCGGATTAGCTATTCTACACTAGCTCGCCATGTGAATGCTCTTATTCTGCTCTGCCTTTGGGCAGTTTAGCTTAATCCAGTTTGGAAGCAAAAAGGCACCCCGAGTGGAATAGAAGCACACCCTAGCTTATTTCACAATCGCTTCCCCAGGCATTCTCAGTGCTCCACCCCTAGGGATATGCTATGCCAGCCCCAAACCGAGTGTCCTCGAGCAATGTTATACCATACTTAGTGCCCATCCCTAAACACTATGATATACCAGCCGCAGTACTTTCAGCCATGTATTCTAAACCTGCCAACAAATACAGAAACAACTCCACCGACAAATATTTCAGTTCTCTTTGAATTCCTAATGTGTATAAGGCTCTGTCAATATTGCACAATGAATCCTCATCTCATCCCTTGGAGGGAGGTCAGCGATATTATCCCCACTCTACTGATGGGGAAATGGAGGCAGAGCGGTTAGGTGACTCACCAAAGACCACAGAAAGAGTTAGTGTCAGAGCTAGGCATAGAATTCAGGAATTGCTGGTGCCCTGGCCTGTGCTGTACCCACTACACTACACCACCCTTTGCCAAACTGCATGGGAATTTAAGGTGAAACATTTGACTGGAAAATTTGGGGCCCAGTCCTGTAAGGTTTCAAGCACCCTCAGCTTCAAGTCAATGAGTGGCAGATGCTCAGTTTTGCAGGATCATTCCTTAGTTATGTAACGGAAGTGTAAAATCATACTCAGATACCAATGTGTGAAGGAGGATGGATTAATTCACACCTAACTGCATTCATGGCACACAGCTTTTAGCTTCACCTCTGATAACAACACACTAGGTAGGAATAAATACACCATAATTCAAGCTCTCTGTTATCTTATTGCTTAATTATTTCTGACGTGCATTGCAGCAATTTATAATTTTGCAATTATTTTAGTTGCTAAAATGTTTGAATTTTGGCTCCTTTTTCTAGGACAAATCTTTATTCAGGCAAACTCTCACTGACATCAGTGTCAGCTAGGTAAGGACTGAGGATAAACTGATAAAAGTCTATTTGATCCCCGGGCTGTAGGGAAGCATTCAGTGCCTGGGACTGTAATATTCACTTCGCTGGGCCAACACCCAGATGGTCAAAGTTATTTAAATACCACTGAGTATCTGGGCACAAATCCTCAACTGGTGTAAATTGGGATCACTCCCGTAATTTAAATGGAGCTGTGGTCATTTACAGCACTGAAGATCTGTCCATTGCTCTGTTAATGCTAATGCTATAGGATTTCGGAAAAGCAAGTTCATGTCTTTTAGTTCTTCAGTTGAAGTCTATCTAGATTTGATACCATCCCTAAACTGATATTCTGGATGATTCACCCACAGTGCACCCCGCCAGGCATTAAAAATGGACTCCTGCTACATCGAATATTATTGTTTGTCTCAAGACCAAGAAAGAAACGTTCCTGCATAATCGCTTCTTATTTGTAAAAAAGTTGAAATCTATCTGCCAATGCAGAGTCTTATAACAGCAACGCTGCTTTCCCCACAGACTACAATGTAAATTATGACTCACTCCAAATGCTTTACAGGATCAGTTCTAAATGAAAAGCCAGGTTAAATTTTAAGGGCAAAATTCTTGTCTCATATCCTCACCCTCATGTCACCTGCAGTGCAGATTCTTATAGCATAAGCTGCAGACATGGTAGGCGCACAGCTCTGGTGATGTCAGTGGGTTTATGTAAAGCAGACATGAGATCCCAGGCACTGAAGGCTGAGTGTGGGAAAAAGATGAGATCCTGGATTCCTTGCACACCTGGTTCCCAGTGACATCAGAGTTTTGGGTGTGCAGCAAACGCTGCAGCAGGGCCCTGAGGGAGGAGTACAGGCTTTGGCTCTAGATCCACACGGGAGTTGTGGCTCTGAAAGAAAATGGTACCCTGCATAGATGAAAAATGGATATGAATGACTAACAGAGAGGACACAATAGGAGACTCAGCACTAAGGCCCCGATTCAGGAAACTATCCCTATTCAGGAAGGCATGTACATAAGAGAATAAGAACTGCCATAATGGAGTCAGACCGATGGTCCATGTTGTCCGGTATCCTGTCTTCTGACAGGGGCCATTGCCAGATGCTTCGGGGGAATGAACAGAACAGGGCAATTTATCAAATGATCCATCTCTGATCATCCAGTCCCAACAAAGTCAATGGGACTTAAACATGTGCTTAAGTGCTTTCCTGAACTGGGGCCTTAGAGGCAGTAATGGGCAGGCTAGATAGATAGATAA